GGACCACCCACCCACTAACCCGGTCTACTAGGGTCCTCCACAGATGATCCCCACGAGTAGGATTTGGCATTGAAGTCCCCACATACTATTAGCATGTTTGCGTTTGCTCTTACCAGGTCTGTATCAACCTTGTTAAGGTAGTCTTCAAACTCTTGGCTAGTGGTATTCGGGGAGATGTAGCATCCTGCTATATGTATCCCTCCAGTTTCCGCAATGACGTATCCGTCTCCTGCTTTGACCTTTCTCCCGGCCTTGTTTATGAAGGTCCGGATTGCCACGTTTCTTTGTTGTCTGTGATAGCTTCGGTTTTACTGGCCAGTTTTTTATTCGGCTCCGCAATGATGGCTATATCTGCTGAGTGCTCTTTGGCGGTCTGGTACAGTAGTTCCCATGCCGCACGGGACCTGTTTTGGTTTGGATTTGGTGAGCTTTAGTGTCCCGTTACGTTTTGCACTTTCTTGGTTTGTAGTATGTTTTTGTACTCAGAGCATGCCGCGGTAAGTGTCCGGTGCCCATCCGTTTTGCATATAAGGCAGTTCCGGCTCTTCTGGCACGTTGTCGCCAAAAATTTGGGATTCATTGTCAGAAATTCTTTGGATTTTGGTAATGTTTTCACACTGTGTCTACTTTACAACACCTTTATTAAATAAAAAATAGAGTATGCAAGTATAATATGGAATCCCTCATATGATATACATTCTGATTCACTTGAAAACTTACAGCGTCGCTTTCTTAAACTCCTTAGTTTCAGAATTGATGGGTTCTACCCACCTGTGGGATTTTCTCAATCAATATTATTAAAAAGGTTTAATTTTGAAAGTTTGGAGGACCGCAGAATAAAAGCATCTTTAGTATTTTTGTTTAAACTCATAAATAATTATATCGACTGCCCTTATCTTTTAAGTAAATTGTATTTAAGAGTTCCTCGTGTTACTGCAAGAAATAATTTTACCTTTTATTTGCCAGGTGCAAAAACAAATGTTTTAAAATTTTCTCCAGTACACTTTATGTGTGATAAATACAATGACTTGCAAGACAGTTTTGATATTTTTTCATGCAATTTGCAAACAATAAGAAACTTAATTTTAAATACCTAATTTATTTATTCTTTTTTGCATTGTGCTTTTTATTGTTCTGTACTTATATAAGTTTGTAGAATATTTCAACTGTTTTTATTATAACATTTTTTTTCATGTGATATATTTAGTTTAGGTTAATATCTCATCTTGTACTTGATCCAAGGACTGTAAGATGATGTAAATAAATAAATAAATAAATAAATATGTCCAGTCTCCCCACAGTTCCTACATACCTTTGATCGATCTTCTCCTGTGCAATTTCTCGCCAGGTGCCCTGGTTCCCAGCAGCGATTGCATCTCATGATGTTTTGGCTTTTGCTGATCCTGCATTGCCGAATGCCGATCTGTATTCTGCCTTCTTTCAGTAGTCCTGGGGCCAGTTCCCTTGGTACCGTTACCGTTGCCGTTTGGGTCTCGCGCTGTCCCATGTTCATAGCCACTACCTTTATGCTTTGGTTTCGCCTTTCGAAAGCCTCCTTGATTTCTTGTGCGGTGACAGCCGCGTCAATGCCCGTGAGGTGGAAGTACACGTTTTCTGTCGGTTGGCCGGGTATTAGGACCTTAGCTCCTTCTATCTTGTTCCTAATGATTTCGGCAGTCTCTCTCATCTTGGTTTCATCCTTTTCTGTTTCCAGTATTAGGTTTCCTACCTGCGATTTGAGAGCTCTGTGGATGGTGATGCAGTCTTGTCCTTTTAGGGCTTCTTTTGTCTCTTTTAGGAGTATGAGGTAGTCCACGTTCTCTTTGCTTACGATGATTGCTCCAGTTGGCTTTTTGGAGGTTTGTCTCCTGAGAGTTTGAGCATACGAGTTCATCGGGGCATTTGTGTGTGCAATATTGTTTGGCACATGGATGTTGGTTTCTATGCCTGCTTCACGGAAGACTATCTCGTTTATTTTCTGAAAGGTTTTGGTGTCTATTCCTTGTGGCAGGTGTACAGCCACTTTCTTCCGCTTTAGCTCCAGCAGTTTGCCTCGTAGCTTTATGAGTGCTGAGGAGAGGTTCTCATTTTTGTTGCCGCGCCGTTTCTTGACATTATCTGTGTTATGTATGAAATGTCGTCACTTGGGGCTGTATCCTTTGTCAGTTCGGGATATCTGTCCCTGAACGTCTTCTGAATGCCCTTTTCCATTAGGGGGTCGCTAGGTTCAACGAAGACCGCCATGTCAAACGCTCTGTCGCTGTTGATGTGCGTCCCTGTTTGTAATTTTGTGGTCTGGAAGTCCCGAGTGCTCCATTTCATTGTTACACACTCAAGGTTGCCATTTCGGCATGCCGCGTCGACGCCTTCACTTGTCCTTTTTTTGAGGATATCTTCCCTCTCTCTCTCTGCCCTTCAGTCCCTACTCGTTGGAGCATTTCCTCAATACATCTCTCCTTCTTAGTTATTATCTTCTCTCTTTCTTCTAGCTCCGCTGCCTTTTTCTCCACGCCCAGGAGAAGTTCTTCAATGTACTTTGGGTTTGCCTGTTTAAGGCTACCCAGTTTTTCGGGGGAAGTCTGGGTGTCCGCATCGTACGTGGGCATATCCGGATTATCGAACCTGGGGTCGTTTACCCAGTCCGTTATTAGGCTCCTTTTGAGCTGCCTCCCGTTTGATGCGAGCGCGCTTGCGATGTCCTTGATCCCTCTTTGTGTGTTAGGGTACTTCTCGACATTTACGGCCAGGGCTTTGATGTGATTCTGCAGTGTTTCCAGAATCTCCACCAGCACCGCATGTACGGAGTTTTCTTTTCGGTTGACCACTTCTTGGAAAGACATGTCCCCCACCTTCCTCTTCTTCGTCGCTCCTCCCACCGAGTCGCATCTCTTCAGCGTGCTTGCGGTGTCGAAGGGGCCTTTTCGTCTTCGTCTACTATGATGGTTTCGTAGACGTTGTTGCCGCCCAGAGACAGCCTCGTTGTAATAGGTAAGTCGCCTCTACTTGTATCAGGCGCCGACTTGTGTGTGTTTTGGTCAGCTCCGACTGTTTGATTTCGCCGGTACCACCCATATCTGGGAGGCATTCTCCTATCCGCCACCCGGAGAAGCGCCCGATGGGGGACACACAAACCCCGCAACTGCCTTTTTTTTGGCGAGGGGGAAATCCTCATGGACACCCATTCCTGATGTTCAGCGAAACGGGTAGTGCCGGACTTTTACCGGCTAAAACCCCCTCATGCTTCCCCCCCCCGGCACCGCCTTTCGGCATTACTTCGGGGGAACGTAGGATTTACCCTACGTTTTCAGTCCCGCATATGTCTTCAGCATTTGATCTTAGCTCTCTATACCTATAGCACCCAGCAAACCTCGCTCTCCGCTTTCTTTATTTTTTTCAGGTACGAACCGAAAATTCCGTGTCCAGTTAGGGCCTGGGTGACATAGTAATTTATGTTATTTCTTTTTGCGTTTGACCAAAGTTCCACGTCCCTAATAAACGTCTTGGCCCACCCGTTGTATTGTAGCCATGAGTCCTGCCATTTTTCCATCAGAGATATTCGGGCTGTGCTTTTGTACTCCTTGCCGTTCTTGTAGGTATCGATCCTTTCCTGCACCATTAATTCCATCGGTGGCATTCCCGCTATGACCTCTATCGCTGTTCCAGATACTGTTCTGTAAGCCGATGTTGCCGAGATCGCCAGAGTCCTATATATGCTGCCCAACATCCGTTTATATTTATTAAATCTGAGGGCTTGCCCCCATACTGGGGCTGCGTACAGGATATCCGAGGTCGCCGCGCTGGCTAGAGTTCTCCTTTTGAGGGTTTTTGGTCCTCCTGCCTTGGGCATCAATCTTTGGAGCAGTTTTGACCTTTGACATGCCTTGGCTGCTATATTTTTGACATGCGTGCTCATCCGTAGGTCCCTGTCTAGTGTGACCCCCAGATACCTTACCGAGTTTACGCTTTTCACATTAGTTCCCTGTATATTTAGTTCCACGTATGGTACCGCTCTTTTTCCGGCTAATATGATAGTTTTGGTCTTTTCAGCTGCTATTTCGATGCTCATTTCTCGGAGGGTTTCCGTTACTTGTGCTGCTATAGGCGTTGCCTTTTCCTCAAGTTGTGTTCTCGTTTTGGCTTCTACAATTATAGCGAGATCATCTGCGTTAGCGATTAGATGTATACCTCTCTCTCTCCACCCTTAGTATCCGGTTATAAAATGTGTTCCATAGACAGGGGCCCAGGATTGATCCCTGCGGTACCCCACAGGTTACTTCATATGAATTCCCGCTAGGGGTGATAATCCTTCTCTCGGACAGGTAAGATTGTATCATCCTAATTAGGTACTTTGATATTTCATTTCTTTTTTTTTCGTCTATAATGCCTTCCCACGGGGCACTATTAAAAGCGTTTTTTATGTCCAGTAGGATCATCAAACACAGTTCCCTGTTTTTGTGCGCTTTTTGTTTTATCTTTTCTGTTACTGTGAATTTTTGTTCTATTGCACTTACCGTCGAATTTCCTTTTGTGAAACCGTATTGATCCCTGTGGTTTAGCCCCTTTTCCTCTAGCTCTGCATGTATTCTGTTTTTTAAAACCATCTCCAGCACCTTTCCTGCAGTGTCGATGAGACATATCGGTCTATATGTGACTTGTTGTGCTTGATCTGTTTTCGGTTTTTCTATTAGTATTAGGTTTGACCTTTTCCACAGCTCAGGGAATCTTCCTCTTTGGAACCCCGCAACTACCTAACCTGGCCTAACCCAACCTAACTTAGCCTAACTTAGTCTAACCTATAATAGCTTTCCTCATTTTTCCTCTTGATAACCTACCTAGCTTCTATTACCTATAGTCCCTTTATCGTGTGGCAATTCCTACTCAGTTTAGAGTTGCCTACATTTTATTGATCTATTTGCGTAAATTAACCCAACTTTGCCTACTTAACCTAACTTAGTCTACCCTATATTAACTTAACTTTGATTGTCTTAGCTTCTTTTACTTTAGATCGTCCCATACGCGAACTGATTGATTTTTTCAGTGTCCCCTTTCTTTACCCCATTGTTGTCCCTCAACACTACCCTTAGCCCTCCCTCGTCCCTTCTTAGTCTTTCTCTGGCTTCCCTTCTATCCAGTCGATCACACTCGTACCATACATGGTTTCTTGTCTCCACACTCCCGCACTCACACAGCTCCGAGTTACTCAGTGCGAACCTTTTCAAGTATGCTGCAAAGTTTCCGTTACCGGTGACCATCTGGGTTCCCTTAAATGATAAATTAATCCTTTCCAGCCCCACGACACTACAGCACTCATAGGTCTGTCTCCCATTCTGCCCTTTGTCCCAATCGTTCTGCCACTTATTCAGAATCGGCTCTCTTATTTTTGTTTTTTCTTTAGCTCTATCCATATGGGTGGGTCATGGACATCACTGGCCCATCCCCTGTTCTGCCTTTTCTCGCTGCCCCGTCGTGTCCTTTTTGCCATCTTATTCTGACCTCGACTCCCCTCCTTTCTTTTTTTCTTATTTCATTTCTTGTTTCCCATATAATTTTCTCCTCCTTCCTGCTCTTCTTAAATAGCTCGACGGCAATCCTGGAGTCCGTTACAATCGTGATTGCGTTGGCCTCTCCCCAGTCTCTTTCTAAGGTCTTTTTAATGGCTCCCATTTCCAGTTGTTCTCCCTACATGACCTTCCGATCCCCGCCCTACCCTCTGCATCGCAACTCGCGTCCACGTACACCACTACGCCCGCGTCGCCCTCCACCTCGTTCCACATTCCTCTTTCCCAGGGTAGTACTCTATCCCTCTCTTGTACCTTGAAAACGTATTTGTCTATCTTTCCGCTTCTCTTCTCTCCGCCACCTCGATGTGAAGCGGGGGGATTCCTGCCAGCACCTGCAGGGCCGTTGTCGGGGTCGTCCTATACGCCTTACAGATAGCTAGCAGGAAAGCTCTCAGAGTCATTCGTTCTTTCTCCCCAAATTTCTCTTGCATACATTCTGGCTGGTTTTGCTACCCTCTTAATACCTCTTTCATCCACTCCTTGCTCATCGTTCCCTTATTCCTCTTAATACCCCTCATTCGACTCACCACCCCAAGCATCTTTTTCCTTAGGTTGTCTACGTGGTCCCCGAAGTTCAGTCGTCTGTCCACTATGACCCCAAGACAGCCTATCTTTTTTGGATGTTTCTTTTTTCACCCCTTACTTTTATCACCGGTTCCCTAACTTTCTTCTTTGGGTATACCCACATTACCTTTGTCTTCCTCCCATTATATCTCAGGTTCGCCTCGTCTTCCCATTCCTCGCACTCCCTCCATACTAGGTTCCATTTCCGCTCTAGTTCCTTAACCGATGTACCCTCTAATATTAGTATTTGGTCATCTGCGTATGCCCTGGCCTCAATTACCCCTTCCTCTTCTTCCTCTTTATGTCTTAGTTCCTTTGGGATCGCCCTGTATCTGTGGTCTGCCTCTATTTGGTTTATATTCCTCAGTCTTCCAAACCATCCCTCCATAATCGTGAGCCACAGGGTGGGTCCTAGACTGGATCCTTGTGGGCATCCCCTGTTAATTATCCTCTTTGTTGTGCCTGCCCTTAACTCTCTGTTCTCCACAAAGTTCATGCATATTTTGCCTAGATCCTTAGGGACCCTGCATTTCTTCAATATATTTTTCAAGTCCGGACCCCATGCCATATTAAATGCATTTGAAAGGTCCAGGGTTACCACCAGTGTGTGTTTGCCTTTCTCTTTATTTGATTTAATTCCTTTTACTACCTCCTCCACCAACGATACCGTATCCCTACCACTCCTAAATCCAAATTGTCCTTCCGAGATTAGTCCCTTTGTTTCGCACCAGCTCTGCAATCTTGCATTCAGCACTTTGTCCAGTATCCGACCCATGGCTGGCATGAGACATATCGGTCTTGCCCCGCCGTCCCCTTTTGGTAGCCATATTATTTTCATGGTCTTTCATTCATTTGGAAATATCCCTTCACTCATGCATCTCTGGAATATTTGTCGTATTTTGTCCCCTAGTCCCCTTAAGCAATACTTGATGCATTCGTTGGGTATGTTATCTAAGCCCTTTCCATTTGCCATTCTATCAGCTGCGTATTCAATCTCGTTCCTCGGTAACTCCTCCCCCACGCCTCCCCACTCGGTTTTTTCCATATTTCTAATCCTTCCCCTTCTTGCACTATCGTGCGTTGGCTTGTCTTCCGGAAAGTATTTCTCAATTAGGTGGTTATTGGTTTCTTCCTGGTTTTTCGTCCTGCTTCCATCCTCTTTTATTATGGACTTCCTCGCTTCCACCGCCCTTTCCCCGGTGAGTTTCCATAATTTATCCCATCGTTCGTCGATGTTCAGTTGTTTTATTCTATTTTCGGCCCATTTTTTCTTTGCTTTTTTAATTTGATTTTTATATTTCCTTCTTATTGTTCGGAAAACATTCTCTTTACTTTCCCGTTTCCGGGGGCATTTTTCCCTTTGCATTGTAATTCTTGCTTTTCTTACTCTTTTCCTTCACTTGTCTAGTTCGATGTCCCACCATTCCATCATTTCTACCTTGTTTCCTACTCTTCTTTTTGGTATGGCCTTTAGACATGCCCTCTTGATATATTCTGTGAGCCTTATAACCAACTTGGGGTTATATGCTCCGGCAGCTCTCGTGTCTGGGAGCATAGGTCTGTGGGTTTTTATTCCTCATACTTTGGCCTGGGCGCCACCACAACTTAATAGAGTAATATAACCTATGGTCGTGGACATAAAGTTAAACTCCAAAATTAGTTACTTACTTATATTTTAACTTTAATTTACTATCACAATGTTTATTTTAAGAGTATTTAAATAATTACCTGTTTATTTCAAAATTAATAAAATTTATACCGAATAGCTATTGGTTTACACGTTAAAATAAAATATATACTAATGTTTCATAATTTACTGCTTCGCAGTGGTGTGGTAAAAAAATTATTACTAATAAAAAAAAATGTTCATTAAAACCTGTTGACTCCTATAGTCCATATTCATAAAAAATTCCTGACATGCATAGTTCAAGCTCGATGTATTCCATCCAACCATGGGTGAAATCCGTATGTCCATGGGTATGTCCATGGGTCGCGTTCAGTGGTTTGAACTTGCGTTTATACCAACCCTTGTGTCTAAGAAGGCAGATACTACGATGCAGGAAACCAACAGCTACGCAGATTCATCCTGTGACAGAATTTCTGTCCTACAATATGTATTCAAGAAAACTTGTGGGAAAACTTGCCCCGGTGGGAAAACCCTAATTGGAAAATCATTCGAATGAATATTACTTCCAAACAAAATAAAATTTACTTACGAAGTTTATTCGGTTTTCTCAATAAAACATACTAAACAATATGACCATCAGCGGCTGAATCAACAGTCCAAACATCGTTATGTTACTTTGCAACTATCTAAGAAATAGGATGACTTAAATAATCAAGGATTATGGAAAATTTATTATATTGAACTCACCATGCTACTTTAAAAAAAAAACCCAAAAAGAGGCCATCTACTTCTATTTTTACTACGTGCGGTAACTACCAGTATTCATAGTACGGAATAAGTTATTCCAAATAACTAATTACTTCACAGATCGTAATAAAATTTACTTAAGACTTCACTGATCGTCTTCAGTAAGCACATTGGCCAAGACGCCGTCGACCTCCCCACTCCAGTCTAAAAACCTCTCGCACAATCTAGAACCCTGAGTGCGCCGACGCCGCGACCCAATGTTACCACTGTACTAAATAACAATTTACTGTAATAGCACTAGACTTAAATACATAGCCAAAAAGGCCAAAGCACTTAAAAAGAGACGAAATACCAGATAACCAAAAAAAAACACCAAAACCCTAAAACGAAGATTGCGGAACAAACCCACAAATGAACGGTGACAGTTCATGACATCGAATCTGAAGTTTGTGACCTTGCCGCTTTAATAGTTTTTAACAAAAAGCCTTTAATACAAAAAGAAAACATAAAATACAAGTAAGCAACCTTAAATTATAAAACAACCTAATTTACTAAGACACCTTGTCTATACTAAGTTAGGATTCCTAACACAAACTATTTTAACCTAAAACTATATTTTAGCCGACACAAAACAAAAAATGGACCTAGTACTGATCGTTTCAAAATTGTACAAACAAAACACACAAATCTACAATCACTGAACCGAAATTATGCCCTACACGTATTTAGAAAATAAATCATAAGGTGAATACCTCAGTAAATTAAAAATAAATCAATCATAAAAACTAAAAATAAATTAACCCTTTTAGGTCCCGTAAACTACAAAAATGAAGTCTTTTACCCAAAGACTCCATAGCAGAGATAAAGAAATAAACTAAATAATAATTACCGCTTTAAATACAATATACAGTGTGGACCAGTGAGAGCGTAATAAACCACATTATACTTATACAGTGTTTACTTTAACTTATTATAATAATACATGTAGCGTTACTATTTGTAACGTTACAGCCTCTTCGCTTCCCCTTCTATATGCTCTACGTTCGCTATTTTATATTTTTTGCATTCTTGCTCAAATCCTTTCCAGTCCGCCTCTCCCATATCTTACACTTTCCTTGCTTCTGTGGTTTTCCTAGCTCCTTGTACTATGTACCTAATGTATTTGTGATCGCTCATGCTCCCTCTTCCATCACCTCCCATTCCACCACCCTTAGGCTTGCCGAGATGGTGATGTCAACCCAGCTTCTCCCTCTGGCACATTAATAAATAATAATAAATAAATAATAAATAATAAATAATAAGCTTTATTTATGTTATATACATAGGTAGGTCCGCTTTTATTGTTATTAACAACTGTGTATCCCCTCTGCATTACCCAGTCTATAACAGTCCTCTCTCCTCCGTGATGTCCCCCCCATGCTACACATTTTGCATTGAGGTCTCCGCAGATTGGTTTTTTCTTTATATCGTTGTCTATTTGTTGCATGATGGTTTCTAATCTATTATTCCTTTTTCCTCCGGGTTCATCGTATATATTAACTAGTAAAAACTCATTCTTCCCTTCCCCTTTAATGTACCCCACGGTGTTATTGCTTTTGTACTCTGTTCTTTCTATTACTTTAAGTCCTTCTTTAACCCATATTCTTACTTTTGCATCTTTTCCTTCATTCATAACTATCCAGCCCTTCCATGCTTCGCATTTCCAATATGGTTCCTGTATGCATACTATATTTACTCCCCATATTTCGCAATTAGCCTTCATTATGTTTGTTGCCGTCTTTCCTTTCCCTATATTTATTTGAATGATTTCTATCTCCATTAGTAGGTCGTCATTTGTTTATTATTCCTGATTCTTCTAGCCATGCATGGGCATTTAATATCGGTTGCCATGTGCTTCCGTTCTTCCTCCTTCACCCCCATTTGCTCACTGTTCCCACAGTTGAGGTTGTTGCTCACACAGTCGCTTCCTTCGTGATCCCCTCCACATTTCCTGCATTTGGCCTTCCCCTGGCAGTATTTGGCAACATGCCCGTATCCACAACATTTGTAGCAAACTGCTACGCTCACGTATTCGTCTACTCTTACTCTTTTCAGGTCCATAAAGATGTTTTCCGTTCTCACCAAAGCTCCTGAAGACCTTTCCTCATACGTTCAATAAGCAGTTTTCTTTGTCAGTCGGCACTTCACTCGCTGTCCGGGCTGCTGCAGAAGTAATCCCTGCTCGGAGGCGCTGCTCCCGCTTATATGCCCTCTGGTCTCCCTCCTATGGCGGGATGCGCGCTTCTCGATCATGACATAAGGATTGGCCAATCACGTTAACGTTAGCTTTGTTGCAAATTTTATGGTTCGGCGGTACTCTAGTTGTCGAGTTTCGTAAAAAAAACGCTGCAATAGGATTTCGGGGAAGGGCACAAGTAAACAATCAGGCTACTTTTTGCTGTGTGCTTAGAATACCATACGGGTCATTCCGGTGGTAGTGCTACATATGGTCTATTCCGGGGTTGTTTATGACTTACGTGAATTAAATCATTTGGATCGGGATTCTATGACACAGGGCAGGGATAGGGAAAAAGTAACTTCGTTACATCCCCCCCTTACTTCGAAAAAAAAAAGAAATTTCATTTATTTTTCTTTTAAAATCAAACGGGGTTTTAACTTAAAAAATATTATTTATTCTTAGATGTACAAAAAAAACAAAAATATAACACAAAATTCTCTTACCATCGGTGCCGCTCACTCTCACACCGGACTCATTGGGGACGGATTACCCGCACCCAACAGCTCCAACAAAATGTTGGAAAGAGTGTGCCGGATTCTGCGGGGTTGGGCAGGGCACCGGACTCAGGCACCGTGGCCGGAGTGGGAGTCGCCACCGTAGCGGAGCGGGAGGCGGGAGTCGTCTTCACCGGAGCGAGCGCGGCAACATCTTGGGTCCGGGCGGAAAGTGTTCCGGTGCGGTCCCTTTGCAGGCAGCAGTCTGCCGACCGCACCCCCACCTCTCCACAACGGCTGCAGTACCGCAGACTCGGGTAGCTCATTGAACATCTTGCCGAGACGCCCGCACCTCCAGCAGAGTCCCGACGGCAGGTCGACGGGGAGAAACGCCCTGTCCGCCTCCATCGGATATCCCACGAATGCCGTCACCAAGTCCGCGGGCACCCGATAACGCCCCGCCGCAGCTTTCCCCCGAAATAGGGCCCTCCTGGGACGGCTGCCGGAAGTCGGGGGTCGGATGGTGCTTGCCGGCTCCCCAGTAGTGTTTAGCGGGGCCACGCTGGCGGCGGCTGAGGGGCAGATGACCGCCGGTGTCGGCAGGGGCGCGTTTGCGGCTTTTCCGGTTGGCGGCCTTGGTGACGTTGTGAGGACCTAGGGTTATCGGCCGTTCCGGGGTAATGGGGAGGTCCCCCATTTCCCAGTCTTCCGGCGTTGGGGACAAGACCAGCCCCTTTGCCGCCCGGTCTAGGTCGGCGACCAGGGTGTCGGTGCTGCGGTTCTCTTGAGCGGACATTCTGTTAACAAAGAAACAAAACATTAGTCCTGGAAATCGGGGCATGTGTCCTGGGACTATTTTAAATTGAAACAGTGTAAATTTCTGGGCACGGGTTTCAGGTCTTTGATATGTATTCGGTTTAACTTTCGTCCTGTCTCTCCTTTGAGCTCATACACGACGGGCGAAATAACTTTAGTTACCGTGTAGGGGCCGGAGTATTTCAGGGCGAGTTTTGCGACAAATCCTTTGTCGGCGGAGGATAAATGGACCTCCCGTCTCATTACTTTATCGCCAACATGGCACCTCCATTCTCGGCGTCGTAAGTTATAATGCTTACTCTGGGTGGTAAATGCTCGGGCTAGATTTACTCGGACAAGTTCAAAGATTTCTTGCATGCGGGCCAGGTGGTCGGCATGTAACTTTAAGTCGGCGTTAGTATTTGCGCTTTCGGGTTCAACCATCGGGTTTTCGGTACGTAGCTTTGAGGATTTCAAGTTCTCTGCCAAAATTTAAAAACGCCGGAGAAAACCCGGTGGATTCTTGTCGGGAGGAGTTCAGGGCAGGTGGTCTCACTTTTTCTGGCCGGACTCGCAGAACTGGGCGATCATGGTTTTGATAGTTTTGTTCGTTTTTTCTACTGGGTTTGCTTGCGGGGTATATGGTGGAGTGATTCGGTGACGGACGCCTAATCCGGTCAAGAGTTCCTCAAATACTTTACCGGTGAACTGCGTTCCATTATCGGATATTATGGTTCTGGGGCACCCAAACCTTGTTATTACTTTCTCGTATAAGGCTTGGGTTACGGCACGTGCTGTGGCATTTCAGTGGCTGACATTCCACTCACTTGGTGAATCTATCCTGCATTACTAAGAGGTACGAATGTCCCTTGGAAGATCTCGGGAGTGGGCCTACCAAGTCGATACAGACGGTGTCCATGTAACCGTCGAGGAAGCATTTATCGGGGCTGACGTATACACTGGGGCGGGGGTCACAACCTTTACCGGGGAGGAATGGGCTAGCAAGTCAAACGATTCATTTTGAACGATGGTTCTCAAGGAATTACTTTTTCCTGTCCGGAGAAATTGTATTAGTCGTTTTCGTTTGTCGACTCGGGTACCTGTCGTATCTAAATCGAATTTACTTAATTCTTCCTCCAGTTGGTTTACTACCAAACAAGGGGTCACACTGCTATTCCTTGACTAACTCATTATCCAAGTAAATCGAAAGAGGTGGATCATTGAAAGTTGGACAAAATCTTAGAATTTCAGTTTTAGATTTATTTCAAAATAATTTGTTAACTCACATAGAGACACCTTTTTAGGAAAGATAAAAAACTGTCCTTATCAATACAAACGGGATCATTTGACATTGTAATTTAATAATATATTTTCCTTTTTTAAAATAAATGAAATGAGCACAACATTTTTAATTCTACAGCCTAAAATAAATGGATTTGGCAGTTTTAAAAATTAATTTTACGATTAAAAATCAGGATTTTTATTTACTCGACCGAAACATGGCACTGAACAAATGTAAAAGTAATTATTTTATAAGTATGTAGTAAGTACAATATTATATTATAAATTAACAGTCGGCTGCTAAAGTTGACTTAAAATCTTGGAGATCAGAACATTTTTTGGCTGAGATTGCATTTATATTTTGATGTAGAGCATCTAGTTTATTCCGTGTTTATGTAGCTAATTGTTGTCTTCGCTGGGGAAAAATTGTCCATTCTTCTTGAAATGGCAGTTTATAAAATATATGTGTGTACTTTGAAGCAGGAATGTAGGTTACCTAAAATATGTATATAATAATATTGATCATATTCATTTTATGATTCAAGAATTTAATCGAAGAAAGTGTAAAAGGATAAGGGCAACATTAGGAAGAACAACATATTCTTAACCTTAGCATCGCCAGGATTTCTTCCAGGACTAATAGTTTTTACCGTCTCAATGTTATTAAAGGATTTAAAGAAGGTGTGGTCCAAATTATTTTTTTTACGTTATATATATTCTGCTGGAACAATATATTTTTTTTTAATTCACACGACGTTCTTTAGTTGAATGCATTGAATCTTCTGGCATCTGAGTGTGCCCGACGATTTATGTTCAATAGTTATTTGATATTGTTTTGTCAAATTAATAGCAACATTAGCCAATACGCTATTTTGATTCTGGTATGTGCAGCCGTCACTCCACATAACTATTTTCGGTTTTTTGCATCAATTAATGGAATAACGTGGTTTTCAATACAAAACTGAAAGCAAGATGAAAATTCTTCTGTATTTAGCCCCCCTTCTCCCTCGTGCCATAGATAACAAAATTAGTCTTTATTAAGATAAAAAAAACACAAATTGTGGACGCAAAATTTGGTCTCATAGTAAAGGCTACTAATGTTAGATTTAGGTGAGAGTAATACGGCTTAAAGATCGACGGTATAGACAAATTTTTCCTTCTAGCTTTTTTTTTTCTTGAAATATGCAAGTTTAAGTTTTCCTCCGATATATAACCTTCCTTAAATTTATTACTAATTTCCCATTCAACCTTTTTTGGCCTGAACAATGCCATATTTTTTTACTCCAATGATTTTTTAAATGTAGTGCTGCTTAATGGATGCAGGGGTGCCACCGTTAATTTTTAAATTTTCTTTATGACATTTTATGACACCCAAAATTATGCATTTGGAGAGTCTACGTCGTAGGCAAATTTTTTTTTAGAAAAGGGTCAGCGGATTTTTTGCATTGCTACCTAAGAAAGAACCCTAGAACCATCGGTTCTACTAGATTTTGCCAAGAAGTTGCTAGGTATCGAGTGTTTAAATATATGTAGTTAAAAAAACGATAAACATTTATTTATAAAAACAAAAACAAACACATTTTTATTTTTAATAAAAAAATAATTACTAGAAAACGAATACACATTTTAAGGCCCACAGAACTTCAGCTTTGACAATTTTTTCCGTGTTTGTTAAAATAAAGTTGCCCCTAGCACCCAGTGTCACAATTCCTTGACCATCTGTTTCAAATCTCAATTGGTTGTTGTTATTAGTTTGTAAAGAAATTAAATTAAGGTGTTTTGTACTGTTTTGATGACTTTTAACTTGTGACAATCCACTGCCGTCGATTTTGAAACTTTTATCACAAATCTTACATAATGCACAATATATACTGGTTTTATCACTTGTTAGCCATGAAAATTCGGGATTTCTTTCCCAATCTCCGCAATTTTAGTTCGCCTTTTTGTGTTGGACATAGTATTTATATTTTAATCCGAAAATAGATATTAATTCGTTGGTAACAACAATGAAACACACTATTGAAATTAGAAAACATTACATACTTCCAGTATGGGGAAAACAATGTTTTCAAAACATATGTAAAAGTTAGGTTATGTTGTGGCCATAATTTGGCCGCCAAATTTAAACATTTTTAAATGGCGGGAATATTTAAATGTATTTTAATGATTTAATAAGATAAAATTGTTTTTCTTCAAAAATACGATTGGTTATTAAAAGGTTTAAAAATTTTTTATGAATTTTATTACAAAAATTTGATTTTATGACAATTTTAGGACATATTGTCTATTTTATGACATTTTATGATTTTATGACAGGTGGGACCCCTGTGGATGTATATTTTTTAGTCTACACAATTATGTTTTATATTTCAAAAGGTTTCTTCTTTTTTTTAATTTCTATACATAGTATTTTTTTGGATTTCTTCTTCTCTTCATCAGATTTTTTAAATTTAAAAACATATTTCCCACTGTATTTAACATTTTTATCAAAGTCAAAATCTCATATAACTATAACTTACCCCAAGTCTGGAAATTGGTTCTATGTCCAAAATGTCTTAGATCGTCTATAATGTTTATGTATATTTAAACTTTAAAAATCGCACTTAATGTCACACGAAATTAACTTAGTCAATGTTAATGTTAAAACTGCACAATGTGCAATGCACATACCTGATGAACTTTTCTGTCGCACAGAAATAAGTAATTAGTAATATAGTATTCCAATCGCATTAGAATTATTTGTAAATTAAGTCTAAGCGGCGATATTTTTTTAAAAATTCTTTTAAAACGTCATCATAAAAATTGGTTGTTCGCTTTAAGTCCTGCATTAGGTCACTTTCCAAAGAGATTATTGCTAAGTTACTTAACCGTTCTGTCCCTGTGTATTTCGTAAATAAGTGTGAATTCTTTTTAAACCAGAAAACGAACGTTCTGCAGACGCACTACTAGCTGGTATAGTTAACATAAATTTTTCTAACAATACTAATTGAGGAAACACGTGGCACATCTTCTTGTCTTCACAAAACCTAATTAATTCATAAGCATTAAGCTTAGCAAATTCAGATGAAGAATACAAACAATGCAATTCGTTTTTCAGTCGGTCAAAATCAAATTTTTCGGTATACTTTCCTTTTAATTCCGAAAAAATCACTTCTGGAAACTCAGATTTGAATAAAGAAAACGAATTTGGATCTAAAAGACAAAAAAAGCGTAACTGTCCTATTTCTCTATAGCGATCACAAATTTCGGTTTTGATGTTATCCACTATTTCTCTAAAAATTCTTCTATAATGTGAAGTTAGATCAGTTATATTTCGGTTTTTTTTTGGTTCTCCGAAAAAATTAACATTTTTTGTATAAATGTTTTCATTTTCTTCGTAAAAATGGTCAATAAATAATTTAAAATCCTTAATTTTTTTCATGCAGTATCCGATACCTACACACAAAAAAAAGTATAGTTAAATTGACTATCACTTATTCATATTGAACCTATGAGAATCATATATGCGCCAACTAAATCATATACTTAGGTTGATTAAAACCTATTGATAAAAATAGTTTTCTTATGACGATATGTTA